TTAAAACGGTACCTTTTTTGGCTATTTACATACGGAAAATTTCAATTTGAGGAGTGTCTAAGGAAAAGTTCCACTCGAAATATTGAAACCTTCATTTCTTCTCCAATTTATATTATTCTACATAACGGTAAATTTCGATTTGATCTGTTTCTAGCAAAAGCTCCGCGGCATTTTCTACTGAGTGTTCAAACGAGGTCAAAATATGATTGTCTAAATGGCGGCAAATTTTGATTTAATCGGCTTCTAGAAAAAAGCTCTTGACCAGGCATTTGNAGTATTATCACATGACCTGAATGGGTAAACAAATTAATGCAAATTACAGTAAATCACAGTAAATCATTTATTAAATATTATGAGACACTTGTTTTAAATTCCTCCGTCTCGCTTTTTTATCACTTCTTTCCATGGACGTTTTATCTCTTTAAATCGCCGAATAAAAGGATCAGTTATCGAATTAATTTGGTAACACGTTCAAAACAAATTGTTTAGTACGATTCGATTTGCTTTTAGCGACTATTTGCCACAGCACAGAAACCTTAATCTGTAATCTGTCACCTGTCACCTGTCACCTTGGTCAGATTTCGGTATCTTGGTATTACATCGTGTTGTCAAGCAAAATTTTCGCTAAAAATTAAGTGTCGTTTAATTATCATGGAAATATTATATACAATTTTAAGGTGAAACGAAAAGCTTGCGAAACTTATAACATTCTATGAAGATTATTATTATTATCTAAAATATGGACTGAGAAAAACACGGTTGTTGGTTGCTTGAAAGATTTATACAGAATTTGTTCTGGGTCAAGGAATAGGTAATACAGCATTTCTATCGAATGAATTCCAGTCAAAATATGAAAACATACTAGAAAATTTTCTAAGGCAATTCTATTAAATGAGCTATAATTGAAATGTTAAAACGGTACCTTTTTTGGCTATTTACATAAGGAAAATTTCAATTTGAGGAGTGTCTAAGGAAAAGTTCCACTCGAAATATTGAAACCTTCATTTCTTCTCCAATTTATATTATTCTACATAACGGTAAATTTCGATTTGATCTGTTTCTAGCAAAAGCTCCGCGGCATTTTCTACTGAGTGTTCAAACGAGGTCAAAATATGGTTGTCTAAATGGCGGCAAATTTTGATTTAATCGGATTCTAGAAAAAAGCTCTTGACCAGGCATTTGAGTTATAAATGTAACTTCTACATAAAGACTAACCTCCGTTGATAACACAAAGTAGTGGATATCAGTTTTAAGATGGCACTGTAGCGTTTTTTTTTTTCATGCATGACGAACAAATGCTTCTTCTTCGAACGAGTGCAACTTTGAAGAAATAAATTTGGAAAGAGTACCATTTAACCCCATACATTAAATATGCATTCCACTTCTTTGTCTTTCACGATAAAACTTTAAAAACAAAGTCTTCTAGTCTGAATGCATAATTAATGTATGGGGTTATAATTATGGTACTTTTGCCATAGATTTAATTTCAGTTCAAATCGAGAATGAATTTTCAGTTGGATAGTATGTTTTGAGCTAACGTTTTCTGTAAGTAGAATTTTGTAGTTCTACTGTAATCGTCTGCGTGAGTTTGAACCCTAAAAGGCCTGTTATTGAAATTAGTTGATTGGCCTGAGCGTATAGAGTCGTTTTGCAGTAAGGTGAATGGCTGTCAGACTAAATTGGATTTCGCCAGTAGATCAGTTGGTAAGGTTAGTTGATTCTGTTCTGTTAGGTCTGTCCAAAGCGGTCTTGTCTTAATTTGTCGCCAAGGTTTTCAAAGTCAGTTGGTTATAGTACTGTACGTAGGTGGAACATTGAGCACTTTACCAGTCAGTAGTGTGGTCTGAATATTGGTGCTGTTCACAAATTTAAATTTTGAAAAGAATAAAACAGGAATTTTATTCAGTCTTTGTCCGAGGTCTTTTGTTAGAGTGCCACCTTAACTAATATCACCTTATTGCGACATCACCTGGGGTACAAGTGTGTTGCAAACTGTTTCAGCAAACATTATAAGGAGCGACTTAGACTTCGAAATAAACGATTTTAGTTGTAGCTTTCTGTGGCCAGGTTCAAATCAATTTCCAGATATTACTTTGATTATTTCTATGGAATGAACTCGTACGAGATAAACTGCACCGAATTACAACTTTTAGTTCGAATATATCATGCGGTCGCACAAGGCTTGCTTAACACTGAATTCGCATCATAACAAACTATTTCAAAAATGGTGGCTAACTGAGAACTATTCGCTTACCAGGAATCCAGTTGAGCCCACTCCAAGATTCTTCAGGAAAGAATTATGACCTCGTACTATAATAAGGCCTAAAGAGAGCCACATTTTTGCTATTGTTACTCGATGAATTCAAAATTCTTATCTCTGCAGTATCCACAAACAATTCAGTCATTCCAGTTTATCCTCTTGACCAGAATCTTTGTCCCTCAACCCTTCTGACAACTTTGCTTCTTCTGAAAATAGAAATTATGAATGTGATTAGGGAATGCTTATACTGTCTCAGAACGAAGATGCACTATCTTTTCACCTTAAAAATTTAAGTTTTACATAATTTCTTCGCACTAGAGCCCAATCGTAGAAGAAAGGTAAGACACCAAAACGTTACGAAATATAAAAGTTCAGTAAAGCAAAGGGCAACGACTTATTGAATAAGATTCGTCACATTTCACGTGAAAAGCTAAGAAAACAGCTAGGTGGACAGTTACGAAAACTCCTCTTGTTTCCTCATGTAGTTTTTCGTCTCCGGCATGAAGAAATATATCCTCACAAGACAACCTTTCTTAGAGATGAGAATTAAATTTTTTTTCGCGTCCTAACCGCTTTTTTTAAATACAAAACATTCACACTCGCTATGAATAATAATTTTTAGCGCAATCTATAGCTAATTACATATGAATAAAAGAGTGGTGCGTACTGCGAATAACGATCTAAACAATTATGGACTAATTGCGATATGCAATGGGATATTGCAACACTTCCTTAAATTCTTTATTCAAGGATTTACAAGAAGATAGCCCTGAATTTCTCTTAGAAGATGTAGAATCATAGGTTCTGCTTTTCTCGAACCTAACACCTTGATTCAAACAAGCTTCGTGTTGGAGAGGCCCTCCGACAAAGCAACCGACTCGCGTTTTGTCATTTAATCGAGACATTACGATAAGTTTAGCTCTCTGAAGAAATTTAAAACAATATTTTCTCGGAGAAATACTCACCTCGTTTTTTTATTAACACCAGCCTGAGACTGGCTCCTGTTACTTTTCTGTAATGGTCGAACGTCTTCTTTCCAGAGCGCAACGTTATTTTCAGTACTTCAGAAGGTACGTCTTCACTCTTGGACAGGCAATGTGGTTTGCTGCAAATTCACAATTCCTAATGAATATGGATTAGCAGTTGCAGCCAATAATTGACTGATACGTCACTGGTGCGTGGTTTGCACACTTAGGAGCCAGTAGAGAATCAAGGGGAAAGATAAACATTGTGTGAGATGAATAGGCATGTGAGAAGATAGAAATAATTAGCGTTAACTGCACTGCGACAAGAAAAAATCAAATTGGAAAATCTTTCAAAAAATTCATTTGAAGCGTTGTGAGGCTCAAAGTCTTAGAGCTTAATTCGCACGATATCTTTATAACCCCATAATTCATTATTCATTTCCTTTATTATTGTTTTTTTTTCAATCAAAGAAAGATCGCAAAATGATAGTTTATCTTTGGAAATGATGCTTTATTTTTCCAACACTTATTTTATCAAAAGAATTTAATAAAATAAGAGTCGCAAATTCTAATGAAATAAAAGGAAACAAAGCCTTATGTTTTCGTGGCTTTTATGAATGAAGTAATGTAGGGTAGAGTTCTAAAGGGTGAGGGAAGGTATGGAGTGTGCGGGGTATCATCGCTCGACATTCTACTCTTAGTGTTCTTTCTTTCATGTCGACGAATCCTGGGGAAACCTGGAAAATCTGAAAATCTGTGGACGTTATTACGCGAAATTCAAAAAATTAAAAAGTGATAATAGACTGATGATTGATTGAGACTTTATGCCCATACTGACATCTAATTTCTCCCTGCAATATCATCCCTGAATCACACATTCAGGTCACAAGAATAACCGGGAAATGATCTCCAACAAACGGATTCAAAGCTCTTGATTGTTGAACAAATTCTCCTTGTCAGCAGCTTAGGAAATGTATGAATAACAGTATTGAGAATGTACATATTGAGGGTGAGATGTAAAGGGTTGATGCCAAGCGAAAGTTTTCGATTATGACTAAACAGAACACCGGATGTATCATATCTTGGCTCGTGGAAACGTTTTCCAGTTTTACAAATAGCTCTCATCTGGAGGATTGCACTTGTTTTAGCCTTGGTGGTATTTTAGCTGATGATGTGTATCAGGTGTACATCAGTAACGAAATCTGAACCATTCAGTATCAAAACACTCGGGCTCATACCTCAAGGTGAATATCCACTCCCTTCTATAGTCAGTGAAATTGAATTAAAATAGTGAAAACGTAGCCTGAATCTAATGCGCTTCCTCCTCAACACCATCAATAACAGAAGCTTTTGGGGAAGAATCCATAGTTTTTTCGTTTCAATCCATTTGATACCAGCCTCATGAGTTTTGGATATCTATGAATGTCTAGGTTTTAGAAGACAGAAAGATGATATTTTGGTAAGACATTGTTTGCTCCTCGCAAGATAATATATTTATTGCGGTAAAGTTAAGAACATCTTTCCATCTATCAGAGAATATTCGCAACAGCTGAAATATGATTTAGAAGTGGCAAAAAATACTTTATACACTTTAATTGCTCTATAGTATGGCTATACCCCGATCTTATGCCTCTGAAATTCCAAGTTTACTCAACTCTGCACTTTTGAATCCCTCTCCAGCAATTACTTTTGTCTATCCCACTCACGTTTTAGCCTTTTATGATTGTTAATATGTTATGAATAAATTCTCTTTTTTGTTCCTTTTGGAAAATAATGTTTCTTCTATGTGTATGTGTTTTCAACAGTATCACTTTGTAAGTAGCGTAAGTACCAATAGATATAAGTATTGTAATGCAATCTAGGCTGTATGTAGAGAACTTCTGTGTAAGTATCTTTAATGTAGTTAATGTAAGTATTGTAAGTAGTGTACTTTGGTTATAGTAAAAATTGAAGAAAAAAAATCAACGAAAGAAGCGGGTATTTTGATTTTTTTTATTCATTTTTCCGTTTACCTCACAATAATCATATTTAAACCTCAGTTAAAAACACATACGAGGGACTTAGTGAATTTTTTGCTATCGGAGAAACATTTATAAATATTTTCAGTATAAGAACATGAAGAAAAAAAACCTAGTATTTTCAAAACAAAACTTCCTCGTATAGCTTTAAAAGTGAACCAAATGATCTCCTAAGTTCAATGAATTTCCCCGACGAGAAACTAAAGTTATCAATATCATTACTTCCAATATAAATGCCAAAGTCAACACTTTATTAAAAGTTCTCTTGTTTTTGACAATATTATTCAATTCGACCAGACGTCGCACGCGCAGCACGCTGTTTAGTTATGCCAAAGAAACGCCCCACGAAGAATGGCTGATAAATCTGCCAGGAAATCTACATGAAAGACTCAGTCTCTGAACTTGATTTGTTGCTCTTCACCAGTACAAAACAAACCTGTTTACCACAGGATATCAGTGGCAAGATTTAACAGCTGTTTAAATTTAGCGTCAACTCATAGAAAATCAATAGATAGCGGAACTATGCAACTCGACGCTGTTTTCCAATGATAAAACCCAGGCACATTTGGAAGGAAGCTTGTTGTTAGTTATAGAAGGGAAATTAACTATCATGCCAACCTTTTCGCTGGCGGGTGCCCAACAAATTTTCCACCATAACCCAACATTGTTACTTTAGTGTATTCAGTAAAAACTGATGCTTTGAGGGTCAGCTCATCTGTAGGATCCGAGACCAAGTAGAGGACAATTGCACACACGGTCCCATGTTTGGACGTATATCTAGCGATAACGAAAAAAAAAAAAAGTCATTCAACTTGATATTTTAAACGAGAACTTTAATGGGCACGAAAAAATTTTAAAAGACACAACTTGTACCATCTTCAGTTTAGCGAAAATTAACATATAATAAACCGTATGACCAAAAAAAAGCTAACATTTTTATAAAACCCAAGTTGGCACACATCAAGCCGACAAAAAAAAAAAGACTTCAAACGGTTGTCTTCGAAACTCTAAGTGTGCTTCTAAAAAGAACACGGAAGTATTAGAGCGTAAGACCAGAAGCGTACTCGAACATTACAACTGACGAGTGTTTCTTTATTTCTCAGCGGCGTCGCTCACCTTTAGTTTAAGCCTACCAAACATCCATGTCAACTGTGTTCTTCTGAGCTCTCCAAGTTTGCTGCTTTAAAAAGCTTCCCCATTTACAGACAGCCAATTCTCCCATCTGAAGCAATCTCTCCTCAATAGCCGGTATATTGCGATTGTCTGCCGTTGGGCCAACATTCAACAACATGTTCACTCCACAGCTGAAGCGAAAGGATGAGAGAAGATTAACATCCTGATTAGAGTCAACATGTTGCAAATTTTAAGGGAGCGATTTCCTACTATGACCAGAAAAAAGAACTTAGTTGTTGAGTATCCATCTATGTCCACACTTAGGGAAAATCACAAAACTTTGCCTTTCCTGAATCAAACGATAAATTACCGACGGTTAAACTACACGATATGTTTCATTACGATCACTATTGTCAGTATCCTCCTGTTCACCCCAAAAAAAGCCGCCCTAAGTGTCCTGCTGTTATAAAGCACTAAAAATCCTAAAGGATGAGTTCTTGCTGTCAATAATTATTTGACTTTGAGATTCAGCGGAAGAAATTTAGTGTTCTCAGAGCAAAATATAAAATTTATAGGGTTGGTACCTGTTACTCAGTCTCTGACAGATGCTAATATCTTTTGTTTTGCATTTATCGCGCCTCAACTTTACTTTTACCATCATAATGAATCCAATTAAAAAGCAATTTTTGGACAATTTGTTTTATGACTTTGTCCTGCCGATTTGTGAAGAAGCATGTCAGTATGTTGGTGTACCCGTAATCCCATGAAGTTAACTTAATCGTCTTTTGAAAATAAGAAAAAGGTTTGCTTTGAAAACAAATCAGATTACCTGCTTCTTTTCTCTTCATAAGATTGTCACTACAAAGCGTTTTCTATCCTCATTGTCGATTAGTGTTGTGATTCTAGGTTCGTTTTTCTAGCTTTTTTCGTTGAAATAATAAAAGCTACCTGAGGTTACCTGTAAACACTGTAAGAAAACTTCGCTTCAGTAGTCACGACTACTGCAGGAAGAATCGTCAAAACATGAAAATTGGTTGTTTAGTCTGCAATTGTTTGGACGTAATGAGCCGTGTGAAGAATCTACTGATGTTTTGAAAGCGACTTTGTCTGGCTAAAGTTGTGCAAACAGTAGCATCTCACGCCAAATTTCTTCCTTTTATTTTTTTTACCAATGTATTTAAACGAACCTAGAAGGAAAGGTTTAAGGTGACCTTCAGATAATTTCGGGTTCATTGCAGGAAAGCTGCTGCCTTAAAACCTGTCACTATAACTTTGGTTAAATTATACTACGCATAAAACAAGGAAAATATGTCCAAGACGATAAAATCAGGAAAGGAAAGTATCGGTCCATATATTCAGTGTACTGGATGCCAAAAATAAAAAAGATTTAACACTGTAATTACATGGTAGTCACAATGATTAAAACTACGCGTGAAAAATTTATTGAACTTTTATTTGTTCACTGATTAGCGTGACCACCATCCTTCCAGTTAGAAGAAGACTTTCGTAAGTATACCTGCTGTTTGAGAAACAAACGCTGGTGGTTCTATTCAATTATGTGACACTGTCATAAACTCCTATTCTTCCGTGAAAAACTAATTGCCACGTGCGATGAGATGATAAAAGATTAAATCATGGCAAGAATTCCCTCGGAGTGAAGTAATCTCCGTTTGACCACTAAGACCATCGACAGATCACTTGTGTTTTGGTTTATTGTTCTTAAACAGAATCTAGAGGGGCCGTATTTGTTTACAAGTTTACTTTTCCCCGACATGGTGGCCTCTCGGGGATTATGGCTTTGTCTACTAGGGATGTTATTATTTAGTTTTTCCTCTGGCGTGTTTTCAAGAGGAGTTAAAAGTAAACGAAGCCCACGCAAGAATTCCGTTCGTTACACTGTCCACGAAAAACCGCCAGAGCTGGTTGTAAATGCTGACCCCGAAGGAGTAAAAGTTCAAGCTAAGCCTTCAAAACTTCAAGTAATTGCTTACCCTCACCTACAGGGATTTCATCCATACGAGCATACGGCAGTATTAGGTCCACATAGTCCACCAGTGAATATTGGACCAAATGCACCTCCGGTTCACATTGGACCTCATGTACCAGCTGTTCATCTTAGTCCCAGGGTTCCAAGTCTTCACTACGGAACAAACGCTCCTCTTCTTCACGTCAGGCCTCATGTGCCTTTTGTTCATATGACGCCCCCAGTCCACGGCATAAACGCTCTTACCGGTCCTCCAGTGCACGTTATGTCACCATCTACAGTATATCATCAACCACCGATTGTTTTTCATCAGCCACACTTTCAATATCCTGGATACGGTGGTTTTGGTGGATTTCCAGGCTATGGAGGCTTTGGGTATGGTGGCTATGGTTGCTATGGTGGTGGACCTGGTTTCTATGGGCGCTCCACTATACCTGAAAATGATGAAGAGGACGACGACGATGATAATAATGTTGATAACAATAACGATGGCAACGACTCTAAGAACGACGAGGGCGAAGCTCATGAACATCGCAAGCACAAGGGAAAATCGAAGCGCGAAGTTGTTTCACAGAAAGTCAAGCGCCAGTGGTTTGGGTGGCATCCGTTCCCACATACAGTTAATGTAGGACCTCACACTCCACCCATTCACGTTGGACCTCATTATCCCCCGGTTCATATCGGGCCTCACGTCCCTGCAGTTCATATAGGACCTCATGTTCCAGTCATAAACGTCCCATCCCATGTCCCAGCGATTCATGTACGTCCCCATGTTCCTGCTGTGCATTTAGGACCGCCTGTTCCTATCATTAATGCCGGAAACCACTTCCCAGCGGTGCATGTCACTTCTCCACCCACGATCTACCACCGTCCTCCTATTGTCATTCACCAACCTCATATCGTCCATCCTTATGGCGGATGGAAGAAACGCTCAAAGATCGCCCAAGCTGTTAAATCTAAAAAGGAGAGTTCTACGAAGGAAGTTAAAGCAGAGGAGCAAAGCAGTGGTGATGAAGACCCAAAACAGGAAGAAGAAAAGCCACAGGAAACCCCCGCCTCCGAGCAATTCAGTGGTGAACCAGAACAAAGTAGTGGACAACCACCACATGCAGACGAGGAAAAGCAAGTCAACGTAAAATCTACCCATGAAAGAACAAGGCGACAGATGTTTTCTAATGCCAACTCCGGACCAAATGGCGACTCAGTGATATTTGTCCATCCAAATGAACACAATGCGGCAAGTCCTGCAGGATTGGGTGACCTGGCAGGTGGCCATGGTAACCCTTTGGAAGGCGGTAACCCAGCAGAAGGGTTTGGGGATCTTTCCTCGAAGGCCTTCGGAGATGGATTTAACCCTAGTTCGTTAGCAGAGGGTGGACAAGGAGGAGAGTTGGGCGCTGGTGGTGATAGCCTTGCTGGACTCGCAGGAGCAAGCCTCGGTGGAGCAGCAGGCCTGGCTGGAAACGAAGCTCCCCCTATGGGGGCCAATAGCTTCTCTGACGCTGGAGGGCTGGGAGGTCTCGGCGGACAAGGAGGTCTTGGTGGACAGGGAGGTCTTGGAGGACAGGGTGCTCCAGAAGAGCTTCCTGGTGGTCTTGCAGGTCTAGGTGGGGCCATGGGATCGCCAATGGGTGGGGGTCTTGGCGGAGAAGAAGCTAGGTCGGCGGTTCCTCGCTCTAGTATCCCTGGAAGACTAAGAAAGATAACCAGAGGGTACCTCACACGAAACCCTCTTGACAATGGAGCAAATGCTCCCATTGTCAAGAAAACGTACATTCCACGACCAGGACAATAACAATTCGACGCTGAATAAACAGGTAAGTGAAAGATGTTAGCTTCAAGCAGAGCTATTCCTTGCCTATCTGTTAAAAAAGATAACAGGTCCTGGTTGCGGTTGTTGAATTTAAAAAGCTACGATTAATTTTTACTTCTACTGTGGTTTTATTCAGCTTCCATTTCGAGTACCATCTTATGTGAATGGGTGATAAAACATTCTTATGTATCCTACTATTTTCTGCGTGATTTTTTACTACATTCTTATCTGAAACATTTCCTTAATAATACTGCTGATGTTAGAGAAAACGATCTGAAGTAAGACTGAAACAATTGCTCTCAACAGTTGAAGAGTAACACAGCTTTTTTTTTTAAAAAAAAAAAAACCGCGCAACCGAATCCTGAAGACTAAACCAGACCATTAATGCGTGCTTTAGGACCTGTTGCACAAATTACCGCCTATGAACTTCGATGGCAGCCTTTTCCTCTTTAAGTTAAACATTTATCAAGAAGGCGAGAATCGCTCTTTTTATGACTTTTAACAGGACTTCTCAAAGAAAATTGTTAAACCCTTTCTTAGAATTCCTCGAACGCTGTGTTGTACACGCAAACATTTGAAAATAATTTGATTAAAGGAAATAAAGAGTGGTCAGGAGGATGCAGATTTTTTGGGAGGCGGGGTAGATCTCGTCGATATGAATATGTTCTGTAAAGTGAAGCGACGAAATCACTTCACTTCAAACAAACTTGGGTACTTTGAGTACCTTAATTATTCATCAAAAGAATTGTTCGCAATACAAAAGAAACGATGGCACTACCAAGTGAGTTGGTGCTCGATAGTACAATAGTTTCAGTTTGTTGTGCATTTATTTTTTGTTCAACTTTAACTCGCCAGCCCCATTCAGCAACGTTCTTTAATCTTTTTGTACGCTATAACGGGATTTGAATTATTTAATCAGTTTGTAAGACCTCGTTAATTTTCGGTAGAGAACAGTCTTTGAGGATAGACCTTTTTGGAGATCTACTTTTACTGCTTCTCGATTGTAGCTTTAAATTAGTGACCAATAACTTCATTTTGTTTGTATTTACAGAAATTGCACCATGGAAGTGCAAGCACCAGTGACCATATTTAAAGATGCTCTACGATCAAAGGAATGATTTTATGCGATTCCAAAAGACTAAAAAAGGAATTTCCTTTCAATCCCAGCGGAATTGACTGCTGACAACTTGAATGCGAAAAGCGTCCTCGTTTGATATGTTCCGTATGTAGGTAGCAGGCCGTGTTGTGTCCATGAGTATGGGCAGACTACATTAGTTGGTTACTTTTCCAATGATCTCTATCCTCAAACGAAGTTATTCATTTTGTTTTAAGCGATTGTGAAAATAAAATTGAAGATTTGTTGAGATAATTGCTTCCATTATGTGGATTACATCTGCCTGACTTGCAGACTCGTATTCACACTTCGAGTTCCAAAAGTGATTGACTCTTACAATGTGGTTAAAACTCAATATCAAGATGACTATACGTGTATATAAAAGAAAAAGGAATTTTATGCAAAGAGGCAAAATTGCTATGAAACAAAATAAAATTCATGGAACTAAAATACATGGAAATGGAAAGTGTTCATGGGGAATTGGCAGTCAGATCCCGGGTATTAGCGAGATGGTAATGAGAAGATCTGCCTTTTTTCTTGACTTGAGAAAAATAAAAAAAATGTATAAATAAAGGAATTGAATCATAGAAAGAGTTTTGATTCTAATGTTAATTAATGATGGGATAACTTGGTTTCAACTGAGTTGATATTGTGGATCGGCCACATTTCGACAAAATGTTCGAACGTATCCCTTCTTTAAGACGAACTTTGAAAATTAAACCCCTAATTGATGATAAGCCTGCCTTGAATTAGTCTTTCACTTTTGCTCACTTAAATTACACTGAGTGCCTGCACACTGGTCCCGTCAATTAATTTCTTTCAAATTTTTAGCAAAGTAGTTGGGTTTATTATGGACAAAGGGATAACAAATCAATTCTGTAGGACTACACTTGTCTGGGGCGTCGTTTACGTTTTTCACTTTACTTTGGTTACGTTCTCCTTCAGGTTGTTACATTTATGACCACTTTGAAAACTGTTTCACAACACTTGTCTGTAAAGAGTTCAGTTTCCCCTGGTTTTATGGGTGGTGTTCATCCTATACAACGGATATCCGGGCTTACGGCCGCTATCAACTGGGCGAATTTGAAAAAGGGAGGGCTGGATGTCGCAATACACCCTGAATGTATAATTGTTTTTTAACTATCTTTATCCCTTTTTGGTTGACAGTCTATCATTAATATTGGTTGTTAGTTGCTATTGTTTATTTTGTTTATTTTTGTTTTTTATGAAACGAAGACCTCGGGATAAAAGTACATTTCAATTATAATTTGGCTTATCTTCATTTAATTGTCAGTTTTTTCCCCGTACATCATGTTTGTTTACTTTGTCTTTCTCACCAGTTGGATTGTTTCGATATAGAATTCGTTGTTTGCTTTTCCACCGGTTATCTACCAAGTTAAACACTAAGGCATTTTGTAGCATGACAGGGAAAATACTGTACAAGTAGCCAAAACAAGCAACTTAGAGCATGTTTCTATTTGAGGGGCTGCTAGTTGCATGGCACAGGAAACAAACGATAACCTACTCGAGATTGCGAAAGGCAACTTCATAAGGACATTTGCAAAGTAATCACCGAAGTTTCAAGGTAGTATGTCTCTTTGAGCTGAAGCCGTGCTAGATGTTCACTATTTTTTTCCATTTGTGTTTCTAGACCGAGTTAGAAGTTCAATTAACTTCTATTTTCATTGCATCTCATCAGCTCAGCAATCCAAGGTCTTCAATAAATCCACAATCGCAAGTTGATTTGTATAGTGTGGATGCCTCGCCCTCTTTCCGCTCCCGGTCAATTTTAAACTTTTCTGATTAAAGCAAGTTGTCAAAGATCTCGCTTCCCCTTTTAGCCTATTTTTGATTGACTAGGTCTGACGTTTTTTGTGCGTGAAATTCAATATTCATTTATTTCGTTTTCTTTTCTTATTGACCATATTTTGTCTCAAGTTCATAAGCGCCCCGCGTCTCGGTTTTATATGCTTATTTATATGCTTATAGGAAAGTAACGATTGCCGTCTAAATAAATTGACATATATAACAATGATGACTGAAAAAGTGATCTGTAAAGAATTAGGCCACTTGTTGCCATTGGGGCTAAAGGCCATTTATTATTTACCATTGACATGATCTCACCCTTGGATATCCAACGAAATATTGAAAATTAGAATTTTCTTGGTTTCGGAGTTGACATTCCCGAGAAAAATAGATATGTTATCTTTCCTGAGGCAAGAAAACTAACAGAATTTTTCTTGCTTGTGTACAAGCATGAAATGGTTTTGTTCTGCCGACGGGTTTCGTGCAACGTTATGTCTTATTTGTTTGTTGGCTTTTAATGGGAGCGTTAAACCAAAACCATTACCTGAAGGTGGAGGAACAGTGACTCAAACTGGTGAGCCGTCACATTTTCAAGTTGATGACAAAGCCGCTGAAATTGAAGTCAATGCCAACCCTGCTGGAGTAAAAGTCAACGCTAAGCCAGCCTCTCTTCAAGTTGTAGCAAAGCCGGGTGTCCCAGCTGTACCAATATTTCATCCAGCGATACATCTTGCCCAACACTATGCGCCTCCACCAGTTATTCATCACAGTGCGGCCATGTTTTATCATGACGGATTTCACTATCCCTTCGGTCACGACTGGTTTTACAATGGAATAAAACGACATAAGTTTCCTAGACCACGGAAAGATCAAATACAAGTTCGAACGCACAAGTCTGATATTCCTCGGTCAAAACATCACAAGAAGGCCTCTCAATCTCACAAGAGACAATTTATCTCTGCGGTTCCGCAGTTTGCGCAACCATCATCCCTCGCTGCCTTTAGAGGTCTCGGTGCGCTCGGAACTTACGGATATGGAGCCTCACCTCAGTACGGTTCTCTTGTCGGTGCACCACTGGGAGTTTACGGCTTACGTCAAAATCCTCAAACAGGATTACTTTCCTCATCTCCCCAACTCACTCCTCAGCAAGGTCTACAAGAGTCGGGGATGTCAAGAGGTCTTTTGCCCTCGGAAAGTACTTCAACAGGCACAGATACAACTGACATACTGCGGAGATATCAGAGGCTTTACGGTGAACTTAATGCCCTTGCTAACATGTACAACTCGCTTGTAAGGCAAAGAAGTTTGCATTCCCTAACAGACATGGGATATGCTGGGGGAATGGGCGTTGGAGGCGCTCTCCGCATGAATACGGATGGTAGTGACCCTCGGCTCGGACAATTAGGTTTGGGAGCTCCGCGAGGCCCAGTGATGGGTTACACAAGAACTTACATCCCCTCCCCACTGGTGAAGCTTTATGGCACTCAGGCGTCACTTCCCCAGACCAATAGCTTTCTTGGTGTACCTGGTATGTTTGCTAAAAATAGCCGTTACTGAATTACTGTTGCTTCTTGAAGCATTATATTTTGTTTTTGGATGATGAAGAATGATTTTAATATTTTGTTTTTGGATGATAAAGAATAATTTTGATATATCTAAGTCAATATTTGCAATTAAAAAATTGTCTAAAGGTTATAAAGAGAGTTTTTGTAGGCTGAAGATTACTTTTGACTCACTGTTTCTTTTCCCAAATTTTTCCCTGTACTTGAATGCATTTATCTTATTCTTATCACAGTGGCATTAAACAAATGTGGAATGTTTTTTCGGATAGTCATAGTATATTTTCAGCCCTTTTGGTGTCATTTGCTGTTTGTGTGTGTGTGTGTGTGTGTGTGTTATTGTTGTTGTTTGTTTCCGTTGTTTCTATTTTTATGTTGGTTTTAACTAATCATTATGATCGGCGAAACCGTAAAAATTGCGTGAATAACATATTTCTCCTTTACTTTTCTGCAGGGGCGTCGTTAGTTGGGCAACCACCCATGGCCCGATATCTCGACCTTTCTTCTCTGCTGCAGGGCTCACCTGCAATGGTGAGCAGATCCAAGGTCCCTGCAGCCCCAGATAAAAAAGACAAGAAACATGATCATCAGGATGACACAATGAAAAAAGCAAAAGTGAAACGACAAGCGCTAGTTGAACCGATTTTAACCACCGAGGATCCCGACAGCATGGACGATTTATTCCAAGGTGACTATGACCAGGACTACAAGCGGCAGATGATATTAACGCCTGCCCTGGAGACGCTACAGCAACTTCAGCCACTGCAACCATTATATACTCGACAGGCCATACAGCCACAATCGTTACAGCTACGTCAACTACAGCTTCAGCCACAGATACTACCTGAGCAACCGTTAACCCGTCAGTCGCTTGCTTTGCAGGGCACCGGTATGCAACCAACGGGTATGCAGCAGCAGATTGGAATACCAGGGACTCAGCAGCTTGGTCTCCTTCCCTTGACCTCCACACCACTGCGCTACATGACGCCATCTTTGGTGACACCACTTGAATCAATGGGTTCCAGCTTTGATGGAAGATCATCAGCAGCTGGAGCAGCTTTACCGCAATCGTTCGCCTCTCAGAGTTTAGTGTCACCGTTAATTTCGGGTACGTTCACCCGTCCTAGAAGTGATTACGGCTCTTTGCAAGATCTTTCATCCAGTAGTCTCTTTCAAGACAGGTCACAATTTCGCCGTCCCTTGAGACTTGGTTTCCCAGGCAATCCAAGACGTCTCTTCCACAGACCTCAATACCGAAGGCGATTACATAACTTTAGAGAGGAAGAAAACTTGGATGGAATGCAACCAGAAGTGTTAGGTCGTGAGAGAATCTCGCAAGAGGGATCATATTCCACTGAAGTAGTCCCAAGTTCTCAAGGAGAGACACTCATAAACTCGCCAGTGGGGTTCGGACCAATCACGGTGGAGGCTAAGACAGCAGAAGGGGCACGGAGAGCTGCGATGGCTGGAGAAGATAAGAGACATCGCATCCACAGACCAGTTGAAAGAACGTCTAAGGGCAAGAGGAACCATCAGTAAGACCTTTCAAAAAGAGCGCGCAGGAAAGTTCCTCAATTTCGTACCTGTCAAAAGTCAGATTAGAAATCAACACAATCAAATCAAAATTGGCGACGATTGAAAATGTCTAGAAAACTCTTCCAAACAAAGGGACAATTAATTTATTTTCAACAAAATAGGATTCGTTTCGTAGAGCGAAGAGTAATTTGTAAATACGCTTGGTAAAACCGTAACATTATGATGCAGCTACAGCTGCAGACCCTTAACAGGGATAGGATATGCATGGGTGCATATAAACAAAATTTCAATCATCTAGGTCCGGCTGATCAAAAGGTGGGTGATGCCATCAATCAGATAACACTCTAGCCACTAAACATCTCCTTTTGCTTTGTGAACACTAATAAACTAAATGGCGCTATTTTCCGGTGGAAACGCATTAATCACCCATCCCCTAAAGAACTTTTTTTTTTTATTTAATGCAGTACGCTGGGTCTCATGTTTACCTTGACCTCACTAATGCACTATTTTAATTCATAATGCATGGTTGTTTGTTTGTTTTTTTTTTTTTTCGTGTTTTGCTGTTTTCGACCTTGTTTCCCGTCTGTTCCCGAATAAATCAATAGTACAATTTTTCATGCTAGGTGCACCTCATATCGGCTGTAACTTGTTGTTAGAGTGAGCCTATGTGGGTATGATTTACCAAAGAAGTCAATATGATCGAAAAATGACGCCCAGTTTATCATGAAATGTTTTATTTTGACGTGTTGCATCCTATTCATCGTATGTACAGCCGAGTAAACTCGTAATTTGCATCTGCCATAAACCTAGATTAAATAATAGATGTCTTGTTGAATGTCTGAGAGTATGTTTGGTTATATATGCAAGAGTTGTATTCGTATCCGGACACTTGTAATTGGTTTGTTAGTCCCACTTTGATCTGTTACTAAGTTATAACCTACAATGAGGCAAGACTTTAAAGATTACCCATGCCTTGCCAAATTAAAATGGCACAAATTACCTATGAGGTAGAAAGAATAGATTCTTTAGTATATTCCTGGTTTCTGTCTGGTAACTGAAGGAAGAGTAGTTGTTTAAATGACTTTTCCGGGGAGTTTTCTCATTGGTTTAGACTACTAGTTAAGAAAATTTTCCACTGACGAAGAAAGCGAACAAACCACGCTCTATCTCTTACAGCGGCTGGCAAAGCAAACACCGGTAATATCTATTTTTCAATGAATCGAGTCAACCTTTTGTATATTAACTTTTAGCTAACAGAATCATAATAACATAAATTTTCTAAGGAGGGTTGTCAAAAATGATTCCTGGGTCACGTATGGTTAAGTTGACTTCAAACGATCTCTGTCGAGCATAAGTGCAATCACTATAGATCTTAATGTGATGTGTAGTAATAATAGGATTGAGAAATGAATCTATGTCTAAAATCCAACATGGATGAGACGTGTAGCTCGAATCTTACGGCTTTCGTGTTAAGGGTAAAAAAATTATGCCTATTAAACCTTGAAAAAAATATTTGCATGCTTCTATCTCAGATCAAACATCCTGTTTGCATACTTTTCAAAGGTCTCATTAATTGCAATTACACAATTAATCAAATACGGCAGTCTCAAGAGACGCCCTCACAAAGGGTGCTAATCCCAAAGCTATCACTGAGATTGAGTTGGGGATAAAGCGTTTTATTAAAGGGGTTCAATGTTAGCCTAGCAACCAGGTTCTTATGCTACTTTTACTCTTCTAATGTTTAAACCAATCGCCCGAAAATCTCACCAGATATCTAAGGCACAAGAAGATATAAAGTTAACATCTGGCACTATAAAACCGAGCAGCGAGAATCTCCGACAGAGAGTAAGTCCGCTACAATACTTTTGGATCTTTTCTAGGTTATTGCTTAGGGAAACGAATAATCCCTTTACCTACAACGACTGAAGTTCATTTTTGATAAACGTTCGTAAGATATCAAACACGGAGGAGAATTTATTTGTGTCGCACGTCTTCTATAGGCAACGTTCTCTTAAGACTATTATTGTATGTGCGTGCAAATGATTTTGCGCACCTGGAATAAGCATATTGTTTACACAAGTGTTTCGAGAAGAGTGTTTGATAAACAAAGGTAGAGCACCGCGAGGTGTTTCGTTAAAACTAATAAGAATCAAGATGGAAAACGAGTTTAAAAAAAAAGTGTGAACATTTTGCAATCATCTTACCCTCCTTGATTAACAGTTTGCTTATTACCTTCTTTTGCCGCTTTATTGCATCGAAGAGTGATGTTCAAAATAAAATTAATTGACAGGTTATTAGAGGAAGCCAACATGCCACGAGGACACTCAGTGGGAGATGCTCACTCCAACAACAGAGCGCGGAGTTTACGATCGGCCTGTTCTAGAGCCTCTAGTACAATAAAGCAAGTAGATTCTACCCTTGCCCTTGTGCGGTCAGACGAAAGGGTCCTCGAGGAAGATGAAACGCAGTCCTTCACTAGCTCTCACTGGGATACAGACCTCGAGGACGATGATTTCTCTGATAGCGAAGGAGATGAAGTTACTCCCGATAAGGAAACATACCTGAACTTGTGTGACTCGTTGGGAGTCATTCCCGTGACTCGATTTGGGAACGAGATCGGCCACGAGGAGATCAAGATTAACCATCGCTTTTTGAGGGAAATGGGGACAAAGGCCATTGCCTCCGTCCTGTTAGGTAACAAAACAACCTCCAAGCTACACATTGCGTCTAACGAGCTCAATATCAAAGGAGGAATTTATATGGGACAACTTCTGTCAAAGAACAGAGCTCTTACTGAGCTGAACTTGGCCGACAACAACATCAGGCGAGAAGCTATTGCCGCCATAGCAGAAGCTTTGCCGAGTAACACGGTTATTAGAAAGTTAGATTTGTCTGGAAACGGTCTTGGGGACAAAGACGCTGAATTATTGGCCGAGGGAATTGAAAACAATAGGTCTCTTCATTGTTTGAAGCTTAGCTACAACAAGTTTTCTGAAGAGTCTGGTGTTTCTCTTGGAACTGCACTTACATATAACAATTCGCTTCTCGAGCTTAACTTAAGCTGGAATCATATTCGAAGAAGAGGAGCTGAGGCTATTTCGAAGAGTCTGAGGTATAACAACTCGCTGGAAAAGCTTGATCTCTCTTGGAATGGATTTGATGACAATGGAACTGCGGAACTTGGGGAGTCCTTAAAACGAAACTCGGCGCTCAGAGAACTCAACCTAAGCCACAATCGAATCTCGGACGAGGGAATAAAAAACATTGCGAAAGGTCTTGAGGGGAGTGAGAGCCTGGAAGTGCTAATACTCAATCATAATTTGATCTTCAATGCTTGTCAGGGAATTAATAAGCTGTTGGAAATGCTGTATAAGAATGGCGCCCCTGCGCTGAAAATCCTGGCGATTTTAGACGTAAAGCTCGATCATGATTGTGAAACTCTGCTAGCAAAAGTTTTAGAAAATCGATCAGGGCTGACTGTACATCATGGATGTAAAAAGTCCGACTGTTTCGTATCCAAAAAGAGAGAGACTAATCCATTTGACTTCCTGAAAATATATTTGGACAAAAACAAGATTCACGCGTCTGATTTGTTTAAACGCTTGGATCCCGACTGCCAATTTCGCGATAGCTTGTCTCGAGTGGAGTTCGTCGATGGAATGAAGCGTTTGAAGGTAATGAGTGACTTCTACCTTGATAAACTTGTGGAACTTCTTGACGAGGATGGAGATGGCGAGATCGATTACAGCGAATTTGTCAAGATGCCTCAGTCTATGTAATCCATTAAAAACATCACGAGGAGCCGGACGGCTGCTTAAGCGTATCACATAATTTCAGCCAGTTCCCATCCAAACGCTTGCATTGCGAGTTTCTAAGTATCTAGGTTTGTAAAGAAACTAAGAAAAAAAAACGATTCAACTATTTTAAACACTGATGTATATAGACATATTTGGTAATTAAACTGTATATAGGAACAATAAAATGTATGCATCTTGTTAAGTGAAAACGACTTTTATACTTTTGATAAAGAAAAGGCGAAAACGCATGATTCATCACTTGATTTAAATTCCTGAGATTGTTGTTTCTTAAAAACTAAACACATTCCATGGTGTGATATTTCCAAGTTTTTACTGAGAAACAGAAAGGAGGAACGCAAAAGGCCTTAAAATCAAGAAACCAAAAAAAAAGCTTCAGATGTTGGTTAGAAGTCAGTGATGCTCTTGTGGTTTGAAAGTTTAATTAATGAAAGGATACAAAGAAGCTTTAAAGTCAGAAATGTCACAATTTTTTCAGTATACCACACAGTATTAAAGATAGAAAGAAAAAATTATAGGTAACATGTTATTGTAATTTATGAGGTGTTGGGCTAGGCAACGGCGATGTATCACCAAATTTGAATCTTACGCACTCCAGATCATTTAACGGTTACATGGACATAATAAAACTAATAATGCAACTCACTGTTCACATGAGCGACTCTAGCTTCTCGAGTGCTTAGCAAAAAACCTCCCAAGTGCATCCATAACTCAATAGTGTACGCTGTGGTGTTTACCATTTGTTTTATAACATAACATTGATACATTGTAGCTAAAGAGTTCCCTTTTATTTAACAAATCTTACGTGACCAGAAAAACAATCGCGCGCGGAAAAATAGTCTTTGCATTTGCTTACGTCAGCAGCGTGCACCCATGGGCAAATGGGGGACGCTAAATTGACCAATCAGAGCGCGCGCTTTACTTTGGTTATGTTATAAATCTAATTCAGTGTCTTTCTACAAACTATTTTCATTACAGGAATACAACATCATATTGGACGACCAAAGACAATTTCTCGAGGTAATTTAAACTCAGACTACTTTTCCATTCATGGCATCTTGAACACTAAAAGATGTTTTTTCCTCGTCAGTGTTTTTCGAAGCTATGTGTTTTTTTCTTCGCTCCATAAGGAGCTGAACAAACTGGCTAGGAATAGTAATAATTCCGTCATTGTTTCGTAGGTCCACCCACAATAGATTGGGAAAGTAATTTGGATCTTTTAACAAAGTGAAAAACTTTAACACAGCCTTCATATCAATTTGATTGCCACGTAAACCTGCGAAGAAGTAGAAATCAGAAGCAATCAAGAGGGACTTAAAGATTCCATGATGACCACTTCATTTTCTAAAATTGAAACGGTGAGCAGTTGAATGTTAGTATCATTATGGAGAAAAAACACAATATTATTATAGCTATCGTCAATAGACAATTTCCGAATTACTTTTGGCCTCTTTTTGAAAACGAGGCCTGGTACTCAACCATTCTTCTGAAAATGAGTTTAATTTGTATGTGAATGAAAACTTATAATCATATGAAAGGATGAGCACCAGGACTCGTTTTGAAAATGAGGCCAATGGTAATTCGGAAATGGGCTATTTAGCACGGGTTTCCAAGGAAACCAGTATGGTAGCATGGCTGGCAGAAACATTTACCTATTAGAGATATTGCAATTCAAAGAAAAGTTTTTGGAAAAAATGAGAACAAACAACACATTCAACCCACAAGTGAGGTCAGACCGGAATTTGATTTCAGGTCAAATTGATGAAAGGCGACCATCTTCTCCATTGTGTCTCCATGCACCCGAGTAAACTCTTTTAAATATTTTTTTGATAAGGAAAGAGCTCGATTACCTTTTCTCATAAAAAGTACGATGAAGCTTTCTAATCTCAGTTTGGTTGTAATAAGTCTCTTTATAGAATGTCAATTTTTCTAAATATTCAAATATCGCAGAACGGGATTTCTGGGGGTAAGGAATAAGGGGGAAGGGCACTGTTATGCGATGACCCTTGCATATTTAGTCAGTTATCAACTCGGCAAATTTCAACAGTCTGAGCCGAAAAGGAACTAAAAAAAATTAAAACTGCGATTAGTATCGTCTCAGACTCCAGTCCCATTTTCGGTCAATAATCTTCGTCAAAGTTTAGGCCCCTGTATAGTTTTGGTTTTGATTCGATTGTATTTGAGTGTTTCATGTTTACTATTGTCTATGTTTCCCAGGAAATTCGTTCACCTACCGATGAAATAGAGAGATTTCAGTGTCATAGTCACGTCGATCAGCTTAAAAGCATTAACATTGTCTAGCGAGCAGAATACCAGCTCTATCTTCTTAATCTTAGGACATCTGCACAAAAGTTCCGTGAGCTTCTTCATGTTTTTCCTCTTTGACAAGTCCAAGCCATATATGCTGATGACGGACAAGTCTGATTTCGATAATGTTTCTTTGTTGGCCTTTTCAAGGTCATCCATGACGTCACTTGTTGGGTCAAAGTCAAAATGTTTGAGGAGCAGTTTGCATAACTGGCCGATTTGGCGCTCATTTCTATAGCGAAGTGCCTCCTGAAGTCTAAAAAAAAAATTTGGAAGCAAGAATTGTGTTAAAAAATTCACTTTAATAGAGTTCAACGTATATTTTTTAGGGTCAACAAGATGATAAAAAGAGATTGATGTCAAATTTACGCGTGTTAATACTTCTTTTAGTGTTTCATCAGTACAGTGAAAAAAGGCCTAAAATTCTGCAAGTGTCTCTTTTGCGTAAAACTAAAGAAAATGAGGATGGAAAAGAATTGACGTGAAAAGGGTGAAGGAAACTCGCCCATAATTAAATAGTAAACTCTAAGACAGCAATTCGTTGTTTTCGATGGAGAATTTCACTCAACCCCTCCGTCTCGGGAAAATTCAGGACTCGCGGGAAAATAAGAGTGTTTCCCTCGGGACCATACATTAAGTGTACAAAGTTAATTGGTGAAAGTTTGTAGTTTTGGTGCAGATTGAACACCTTGTTAAATGGGAATGCGCAGACCTTACATAGTAAATGGTTTGAACGGGGGTGGGGGGGACATGTGATACTATAGTCTGATCGTTTGGATGGGTGTAGTCCTGAGAAGGACAGTTGTCGGTAGTGGTGGCTGACGTTTCGACCACCTGAGCGACAACCCTATCACACAGTAGACCTTATGCAGGTGGCGCTGTTTTTCATGTTTGTTTCTCCATTTTTCGAGAGTAAAATGAAGCTCGTCCAGAATGCTCCTTTCAAAAATAAAAACTTGCACACACCAGATTCAGTGAAGTCGTAAGGTCAAAAACGTTTGTAATGTTATGAACGAAGTTACCGTACATTTGGTGATGGGTGATAACGATATTTTTAATGGTCTTAACGTGCACATGCAAGCACAGCAGAACTTGGACAGAAACCTATCGAGGGGATTTCAAAAGAGAATCACACCTTTTAAGCTTATGAAATTTTGTAACTGTAGACTTACCTTTGTAAGTACCGATGTGCGTCTCGATCAACAAGGAATTCATTAGCACTCAGGAGATCCGAGACGGCCAGATTACAGAGCCTTTTAGTCTTTGAACTTACCCCGATATTTTTTGAAATCTAGAAGCAGGTGAAAAAGTTCTCTTTGACAAAAAAGCGCTTAACATTCGAATAATTAAGCAAAAAGGTCACAGATTATGAGATTTTATCTCCCATAGAACCCTTTTGCTTGACTATAGACCACTTTCATAAATGGCTGCCGGATTAATATTTTTTTGTTTAAATTTAAATTAGCCCTACTGGCCTCGTTCTCCATTACAAAACTCAAAAGAATACATTATTCTCAAGCGAGGCCAGAAGGGCTAAAATTTAAATTTAAACAAAAGAATATTTATACGGCAGGCATTTATGAAAGTGGTCTATCGTAAAACTAAAACCAAATTACTCACAACCGCCAATGGAAATCTAGGAATGCATCATTAGCAGCCAATCAGAACTCAAGGCAAGAACAGGTTAACTGCCCGAGGTGCGAGAAAATGCAAGCGACCAAGTTGCAGTTAGTTTTACTTTTGAAACTGATTGCCAGTTGAGAAAGTGTCGCGATATTCCAAATAGATTGTAAGATCTAATCTATTAGCTTGATTCTCTAATGAACAATGACGGTAGCGAGCAGATTGTAATCTGCTGGCTACTGTTTAAAAAACGTCGAGAAATTTCCTAACGAATTAATTTTGGCCGTCTGCAACGGTCACGGATATCATCTTACGAAGATATCACCTCTTTGCTACGTTTTTATTTAGACATTTAACATCAAAAACAAAATATGTTGTTTTTACCATTGCACTAACGAATGCCGATCAGCATTTGATCAGCGTAATCATGTTTTCAAAGCGCACTGTTGTTCATATAAACTATTAAAGGAATGATTTTATTGCATTGCAGTGTCTGATTCATTTGTTCGCAAAGTTGGCGAAAGAATTAAATGCGGGTTGATATGATAAAAAGTAACCGTTTAACAGGTCAAACCTGAATATTTTAACTTTCTTTTGCGCGACAGCTTCTATAGCAGTATGCGGTTACTGTTTATTCGCGATGAACAAATCTAAGCTTACCTCTTTAAATACATTTATCGCTTGTCCAAATATTCCTTTTTGAGAGAGCCGAGCAATTTGTCTTACGTAGAGAGCGCGCAGCTGGTAAGGCTGGAGTTTATCATGAGCTGAGTTCGATGAGCAGCAAAACATTGTGGAAATTTTCATATCTGATATTCCATTTCTACTGAAAATCGTTTTTCTAGAGCAGCGCAAGGCGAACTTTCGTCACAATGTTCAAATATGCGCGCGTGGACTTGGCAAGGTTTAAGCGCGCGCAAAGGTATTGGTGAGTTATCTTGATATATGATAAGCCGAAGGCCTGTCAGAGTCCAGCAAGACCCTGAAAATAATCGCAAATATTTCGATTGGAAAACAAGCTGACATGCAAGTATCGATTAGTAGAATAACATGTTGGTGTCGTCCATTTTTTTTTTGGGGGGGGGGGGGTTTAATGCACGCTATTTCAATATAGCAGGTGCGAGTTGAAGAGAAGGCCAGCGCGCGCGGTGCATAGTTCAAAACTCTCTTAGCATTAAATACCGGAACCGACCTGAATGAAGTTATTGCTTTTAATGTTTACACAAAGCAAAGTATCGAATACCGAAGCCGACTTGAATGGTACCAAAACATGTCGCTCATGGAAAACTTATGCACATTTAAGAGCAACGGTGAATTGGTGTCTTCGAGAATTCTCGATTGCAGAAGAGGGGCCATTTCAGGCTCGAGTTAACTGATTCACATGGTACATACCATACCACCAAAAGTTGATGTGTATCAGATTCGAAAGCCGCGGAGTTTGTCGGACAAATTTTGAGGTTTTCCGCAAAGTTCTAATAACTAAAGTTCTCGATAAGCAATTAAGAATAAAAACCATCGATATTAAAGAATGACGTTTCGACGGCTCGATGCCATCATTCTCAAATTCAAATAAATACATTTGTAAGTTCTTTATATAGAAAAAGTACGTGTGAAGGTCTCCGCAAAGTTCAATTTTAATTCCGCCTCTCCCTATGCATGAAAAGGACTATTATGAGCTGATGCGAGTTATCAGAGTTCTTTCCAGTCCTGCTCTAACTCATCTGTTTGAAAAACAGTGGCATGGAATGGTTTCATTGGATGATCTGAAATTTCCGGGAGAGTTTCTGAACTTTGTGCAGATTTTGTGCATGTTGCAGAGTTCAGATCTGGCTGGGGGAAAGTTGGAAACGAATGGCAAACTTTAAGACTTGGCTTTAAGAAGAAACCTCGTCATCTTCTGTAAAGGGAATAAAAATAAATAGGTATATAAGAATGATTGAATGACATCAAAGTGTACTATAACTAATAATCTGTTCATTTTAAGCGAAAAACAAAGTTAACTTGCTTTGAATGGTTGTCTCTCTTAAAGATCTGAATTCTGCCACAGTTTGACGTTTCTGCAGCTGCTTTGTTTTTTTTCTTTTTCCTTGTATTCTCGCCCCGGCCCGATCTTCGAAAGGATCCAGGTCCTCTATCTGAAAGCAAGAGAGCAATCAAGATGAAAATTATCCAGAGATTATAAACATAATCTCTTGTACAACTACATCTACTACTGAACCGAAGTCACACTCAGCTTATGTGCGTTTGTGTCCCTTTTTCAAGGCTAATGATGAAAAACATGATAATTCAAATTTGGACGAAAATTTTGCCTTAGATCAGGCTAAGTAGGTTATCCATTCACTTGCCAAGGTATCATGACTCTAAACATCTATAGATCATTCAAGCTGTGCTGTAGCGATGGTCAATGGTCATGAATACCTGTTTTGGTTTGTGCAGATTAATGAAGAACTGCATATCTCCAGCTCCGTGTACTGACACCTTACCAATAAAATCAGGAAGCTTTGTAGGATCACTGAGCCTAAATTTCAAATAGAAATCAACAAACGTCGTTTTTCCCGTGAAAATGACAATTCGCTCATCGGTACGGTCGGCGGCATCCATGTCAGGTACAAAGCTCCCGCGCACAAGGAATCGAGTATTACCAAGAGGTAAGGTCAGCGGCTGCGAGCAGACCTCAGAAATGAAGCAATTGTCGGGATTTCTTGGTTGAGCATTGTCAAAGAGTGCCACTCTCAAAACAAACTGTTTCCCAGGCTCTGCAATCTCGGTCATAAGGCCTCGAAGCGATGTAGTAACGAAGTTGTTGTTGTCGTTGTCGGAGTAATGGAGTTCTCTTGAAATACAGCCTGCAATTTGCTCAACGTAGCGTGGGTTGTTGTTAGGTATTCGTCGAACAAGCTTATAAAGTCCTCCTCTTGTGATTAGAAATGAAGCAATCTTCAAACCGTTTGCAGCAGTTTTAATCTTGAGTAAAGTTTAAAATGAATTAAATTAGCTTTATGTGTATCAACAATCATAATGATAAATGGAACCGTTAATAATTCGTTACTAGTCTTAAACATAATGAAACATAACATAGTCAGGCTATCATGGCGAAGCTTTTTTACATTACAGTGGCTAGAAGTAAGACGATGCACTCAAACCAAAAAGAAAAAATACTTAATAACCTCTCGAACCACATAAGAGATGAAAAGAGACGAGTCTTACCTCGGGTGTGCTGTAATGGTGCTTCCATAAAACCAAATCCTCATCTAAAACTTTGCTCTGCAAAACAGCTACCCTAGCGTTCTCCCTGGAAAAGAAATCTTCAAACCCATCTCCCAACAAGGGTAGGGTTAGTTGAATAGGCTTCGTGAAACGAAACTTTGACGGGCGAATGAGAACAACCGGGCTGGATGTAACATCCACCAAATTGCTTTCGTCATGATGCCTTGGATCACAGTTCTGAGGGAGAATCCACGTGCTGTGTGACTTAGAGGAAGTTGGGGCCGGAGCTGATAGACTGTACAACTCATCTGTGCAAACTGTCTCTAATGTTACAGGAGTCTTACGGGACACACAGCCAGCGGGGAACTTGATCTGAATTCCTGGATATTCCGTTAGCTCCACCTCACAGTCAGTGTACGGATCCAGATTTTTCGTTGACTGGGGATGCTGAGTCATTTTTATCGTAAACAATCCGCTTTTCCTGCATATGATTCTTGCCTCAGTTCTTGCTGCATTAACATGAAAGCAAAATGAGTCAATGGGTTTCCATTTGAGATGCTTCACACCATGTCTCGCCCAGACATTGCTGCAATAAAGGCAGACCAGTTGTCCACAAGATTTTGGAGCCACACAGTTCGGCAGCCTTAATATAAGTTCGGCAGAAGGTTCGAACACAAACTCCTTTGGATAAATTTGAATTATATCTGATACTCTCCGCTCGTTTTCTTCCAAAAATGGCTCATATTGAAGTTTGTTGATAATTCTGAACTTCACACTTGTTGTCTTTGAACTATGTACTGAAATGACAGAAGTCTTTAGTTTTACACCAAGAAAATCGTGTGATGCCTCTGCAAATCCATTCTTTCCAATTCTTATTCTGACCCAGTCACTAGAAACGGTGCTGAAAGTGAAAGTGTCAATCAATAAATCATTATCAGTTATCTTGAGAAAGAGACTTTGTTCATAACGTCATCTCTTTCTTCCCTTCACTGAGACAAAGCGATTTATTTCATTCAAGTATAACTAAAACAGTACGAGAAAAGTGATCCAGACGCGAAATATCGTTCAATTCTGAAAGAATGTGAGGAAATTGATGACAAATGAAAACATTCATACGAGGACGGTCTCTCATTATCGCGGCGCGCAATGTAAATAAGTTGTTCTGTTTGAATTTCTATGAGCTTTTGAATGAAGAGCAGTAACCCTTAGCTCTGGACATAAACATTTCGCATTTTCTTTCATATATTCGTTGTTTAATCGTATTTATTATTTTTTTTTTAAGTATTTAGTTTTTTTCGTCAAAAAATCACATGATAACGCGAACTCTAGTCATGTTGCCAAATGTGCGATTTAAATTCAAATTTCTGTCTGTTGTATCTGACACCTGCCAAGGCTTCCGGAGTATCTCTTGATTTTAGACTTGTCTCCTCGCGGTTAAACCGAACGCCACTTTGCCAAAACGAAATACATTGACACAAAATTGGATCATTTATAACGCATTGCTCAAAAAATGATTTTCACATTTGTACTGATTAAAATTTTCGTCGCCAGCGAAACGAAACGAAGTGCCTCACTTCGTTTACCGGAACTGTTTTTTCAACCTCCTTTTCTTCATTGTTGCATTTAGGTTAGTTTCATATGAAAATTACACTCTTCAGCATGGTGAAGGGGTCGACGGTTTAGTTGCATTAACGCTGCTTCAGTTGAATCGATTCTAAAATCGAAAGCTAACATATTTTACCGAAATTAACCAAGCACGATGAATTTCTCTTTTCTCATGGTCGATAAGTTTTATTTGCGGAAAAGTGCCCTTTGTATGTGCATGTTGCCAGTGTTCATATAGTTTTGAAAATAGTTCGTGTAAACTTTGATCATTGGACCAAAGACAATTTGATGTTGCCTTCTTTTGAAAAGCATGCAGCATATTCAGTGCTGATAGCGAAGAAAACCGAATATGAATTATCAAGTCCTCGCTAAACAGGCTGCAGGCCGACTTCCACGAGGTCATGTTTTGCTATTTATTATTAGTTATGACTGAGTGGGTCTTCAAAAGATTCGAATAAACTCAACTAGGTACAAAAAATCGTCAATGTACTGAGAAAACTTCGCCCCTTGGTAACGAACTCAGTTGTTCACTCCGGGAAAAAAGGTTTCACTGCCACAAGTGAACGATGACCGAATTAAATACACATGTTTCGGTGCGTCGAATTCCTTTTTGGAAATGAATTCAAAAAATCACCCCAGGAAAAAAAGAAAGGGTGATATTTTTTGCGAAATACAAGGACGAATTAACGTTCACATGTCAACTCAAGCTATTCAAACAACAGCAAGGTACCTGAATGTGGGCTTCATGGAGCTGTTATCTCCATCCAATATCAATTTACTTATGATTTGTTTTGACTTGTTCCTCCACTCCATAACAACCACATCAATCAAGGTGTTGTTTGCTAAAGATGTTTCGCTTCTCGATGCGTTAATTGTGTGCAATTGGAGGAGAAGGTGATTCATCAAATGTCAACTTTAAAAAATGGAAATTGAACTTTGGTTTCAGCTTCCGCTGGGAATTAGACGTATTGTGAGAGCAGGATTAGTAAAAGTGCTTCGCTCACATGGAAAACTTATTGCTTTCATTGTTTAATCAAAGGTGCCTTTAATACACAAAGCAGCATATTTGGGTTGTTCATATAATTTATAAGGGAGAAAAGGCATAAAGATTGCTTTTTTTCCGATGAACTAAGGTTGCCTCTCGATAACCAAACAGCCATATTTGTTGAGTTGTTGGCTTTCATCACTGATAGAACACGAAAAAGGATGACAACTATTTATTATTTTTCTCACAACCGATCGAAATGTTATTAAGATCTTTGCAGAGAAACTTCATCGGCATCTACAAAGGTTTCCAATTTCACATGTGTTTGTCACTTTTGAATAGCTACAATAAAAAAAGTATTGCTCACGCTTGCTTCGATAATGCATTGCTCAAACAGTTTGAATATTTCAAAGTATACATGGGAACGCTACTTGTTTAAAAATGCTTAACATGTAAAAAGCTGGTTGAAGTAATAGCTAAGCCTTCTTTCACGAATATGCACGCTACTTTCATGCAAGAAATAGAATCAAAGAGTAGTCAATTCTTAAAGAGGGGAGATAGCTAAAAGTCAAGCATAGCTGTTTCGACAGCGATTACTGTGCCTCAGTGTTCCCTCTGGTCTCGTTTTCCCCGCGAAGTACTGGAAGAGGGTCAAAATGCGGTTTTACGGCTAACAGTTGAAACTTGACTATTTACGACTATCGATTAATTTCGTTCCTTAGTTGTTAAAAGAGAAATTTTGCTGTAAAATTTTTCTTACCACCAAAGTTTAAAATTCGTCAATCTTTACGCCTAACGGCTTATTTTTTTACGCTGTTCTATGATAAACGATAAACCCCATTGATACCCTCGATCCACCCTGGAGGGATGGGCGCGGCGAATTTTTGAAAAATTCCAACCAGCAATACACACACAGCGGCCTCAAAAATAAACGTAGTTTACATCGCCAACTCAAGTCTGTCTAGTGAGTTGAATTCGTGTAAGTTTTCCCATGATAGTACGATTGAGAATAATCTAGAAAAAAAACTTCGACCTCATCGACCAAAATACGTACAGCCGCAGAAAGTTGACTCTCAGCTCTGTGCGACCTAATGTTTTGTTTATCAATCGGTCAAAGAGAATAGGGAAAGAAGCCACTAGAAGTCAAGATTTCTGAATAATGATTGAATTCAAATGTTCAAATACGAACTGTTCTTATTCATAGTAATTAAAGTGAAATCCTTTTCAGTGGATACATGTAGAAGTGACGTGTAATCAATATATTTGACGACGTGAACTAATTTATTCAAAGTATCTTTCTTCTGTGGTGATAAACCACAGGTTTTGATGGTTACTTTCGCAGATCAGAAATGCTGAAAGTGCAACGTAACAATGGATATCTAATAAAAATATTCAGTGCACGTTTCGATGTGATTTTCTATGCGAAAACACTGCACGCTGACCTTACCTAACAAGATGGCACAATAAAATGTAACATGTAGCAAAACAGATGGACATAATTACCAAGCTAATGAAATATCTCGTAAGTTATTTCTTTCCTAAAAGTAATACTTCAAACGGTCTTCATAAGTGGCAAACACGCGAAAATTTAACAGTCTTAATTCAGTCGTTCATTGAGGGAACTTTTGAAGTTATTTTTCTCAAAGCGTTTATGAAATCTGTCTTTAATTCTCCAATTTAAGTTGTAGGATCAAATGTAATGAAATCAAGATATAAATAAAAATGTTCAACAAATACGAGCTTTTTAGTGTAGATACACAAACACACAAACTATAAAGTTTAGAGGGACATTAGTGAACCAATTTCCAAATGATCCGCAGTTATTCCGGCGCAGTAGAAAAGTTGATAGCGAAAACACTGACAGTCAGCATCAATTTATGGCTTCGTTATATTAGCTGTTGAGAGACGATTTAATTAAAAAACAATTATACCAACGGGTAGGCGGGCAGCAAGACAGAAACCAAAGCTCAGTGAGACTAAACCTCCATATATTATAGTTAGCTATTATTTATTGCCTTTGAGGGGGTGGAGGGCTCAGAGGATTTTGAGGTGNGAGGTTTGGATGTTCGTAACACTTAAACCCGTTGCAGAATTTGTGTCAAGTGCTCGTAAAATTAAATTATATTCGGCGCATGATTCATTCTATACAATCTGCAAAGGTTTAAAGTACTTGCGGTCAATTCAAATTTCCGTTACTCAAAACATACTCAAGCATTTATTTATTGAAAAAAGTGTGTAAAATACCTACAGTTTTTTGGCAAAAATGTAAGGAAAAACCAAACACTAAGAAAAAACGAAACACTAAAACAACATTGCTCATACGGATATTTTCGTGTTCTACGGGGTAAATCTTTTCGAATCTAATGAGGCCTGGCGGATGCTCCAGATCCTAAAATTCATTTCCAAGATATGAGTCTCACAAATATAATTATATCATTGTACCACGAGCAACCAAGGAGCTACATATTAACATGTAATCTGATATTTTTATGAACAATATGAGATTATCAAAAAACTCGCCACAACAGGCTTAAGAAACAGAATCATGCCCTAGCTTTTTGCAGAGTTTAGGAACTGACGACAAATTATCTGTTATCGTGAACGATCTATCACCCCTCATGAAAAAGCCTCCTCCGAGACGCGACGGTTTTTGCTTGCCTAAATTTCTCCCCATCTCTTTAATCATGGATATAAGATCCAATCTCTGCCATCTTTTGTTTATGACGTCATCGATCAACACAATAAAATGACCACTCGAACAGTCATATCTTACTTGAAAAAGTTCCGGAATCTGCTCGAAGCGATCCCACTTTTCGGATCCAATCACAAATTTCGTTTTGCTTGATATCAGTTTGAGCTTCTCTGTCAAACAATTCTCGACCATTTCACGGATCTCTGTGCGGAACATATAAAGATCGCTGCTTTCCATCACAACAAAAAAGGTGAACCGATCTGAAAAAACAAACTGCAACACAAGTTCAGCGAACGCAAGACGAAACAAAACACCTCCATCAATTGAATAAAGTTGCTAAATCGTCCAATATCAACCAAACATAGTTAGATTGGTCAGGGAAATGGTTAAATACTCAGTTTGCCAACCTTCTCGCTGTACGAAAATGAGCCCCCATACACTAGTAAGATTAGTGGTAGAGGCCTCCTCACGTGGGGCGCACGGAAATTCGCAATTGTGACCACTCCTTTGAAAAATCCTAGCAACTTCTTGATCTTACTCCTAAGTGCTATTATAATATATCACAAGTCATTATCAGCCATTCACTTACTACTAAGTGCGATGTATCACAAGTCATTATCAGCCATTATTTCAAGAGTATTTCAACGTTGACTTATACAAAATTACAAGAAATCTGTGAGATTGATGTACTGATGTACCGAGAGTATTCACGGTTTTCTACTTCATCACCCGCTTACTCGTTACCAGTCTACGGGCTAAGTATGTTGGGTCGCAATGAAGGAGGATACTAGCTGTCGGACCCACACCACGCTCAGAGAAAGGCACCAAGGACTCTCGACCTGTCTTTTACTATTATTCTTCAATCTCTCGGTTCTCTAATACACAAATCTACTTATATCCAATTTTACTTCATTCCGTCTAAATATTTGTTTAATCTCTTAGACTCTCACACCTGGATTGTCACTGATTACTTCTCATTGAACAATTCTCTCTGACTTGTACTTCTAAACGCCCACTTCAACTACTGAATTCTGTCTACCAAATAAGCTCAAAAGTATATGTTTATATATTCGCTATCGGAAGGCATGGGTTGGGAGATTAAAAATTTGTCGTTAGAACACTAACACAGACACTTTTACACGATTCTCACAAATTAACAAAATGCACTGCTAAGTGCGCTAAAATGCTTCCGATTGACCGAAACAATCTCTGACTGCGTAAGCCAAGACAAGAATATTCGAGTTGGTCCAAAGCAAGGTCAATAGACAGACTAAGCACGTCCCGCACTTGGAAGTAAGAAACGACAGCCACAATTTGGAAACTCATCCCGATAGCTTAAAGCCGGCTAACTATCTCGAACTTCGAATTCATGTCATTACTAAACGCTACTTATAAACGAATGACTAAATCACTTTTTGACCCGAATAATTACCCACTTTTCAGATCCAAGGCCTCTTTTTCTTACATACCTTGATTGTGTATCCAACCATCCATAATTGTTGAAATGGCTTCTATCACATTTTTTCAGTTCATCGTTCACCAGCTTTTCCATTTTCTTTATCTCCTCTGGTAGGAAGACCTTAATACCTTGAAATCACTGGTGGTCCCTGTAATCTGATTGGCTCTAATTGGTGCGAGTTATTCACGAATCGCACCATCTTTTGCTCAAAATCTTATCATTTTACGCTTGACTGCTCTCTTCAAACGCCTTCTTCTCCGCCTCCAGATTCTGCATGCGCCGATTCCATTGCTTCTGAACTTGCTTCCTTTCATCAGTTCGTCGATCTTCGCCAACCCTTTATGTAGACTTTCCAAAGACACTACATCAGTTTTAGTATCGGAGCTTAAATCCTTGAAAAACGATTTAATGTTATTTAAGCTGGCGTTCTCATTAGCTTTGTCGATGATCAAAAGTGCCACCTGACTATGAAACACCGTAGGACGATCGCTATATTGGCGTAGGTTTTTAATTTTTTTCAGGGTAAGAGTAGAACGAAGAGAACGCAGTTTCTACTTTTCCAACAACTCTACCAAATCATATAACTGCAATGCGTCAAAGACTTCCTTTAGCGACTTGACTGGAGTATCCGGGAATAATTCGAAAATGT